ATGATTTCACACATGCGTATTTTGTCCCATTAACATATCCTGAAAAAAGTGAAATTTCTCGCCAATCTAACAAAACTATAGACAAAAGCCGTATTTATAAATGTATATTTGAGAGAACAGAAAAATCATTAGATAAAAAATTGTCGGTATTTGAACTTTAATGAGATTATTCAATGATGTTATAAGTACGAAAAAATGATTAATTAGAAGACATAAACCGTACATGTCTCGTTCATGCAATGTTTAACCTTGGTTAAGTCCCGAATATGATGAGAACATATACTCACCTAAACATGTATACTGAAAATTTATAGCTTCTTATAAATCATTTTATTGTGCTTATAATATTGTTGTACAATTTTTTTAAGGTTGAAATTAAATATGAATGATCAGCACTTGTGTATTATTTAATGATTTAATAAGTAATTAATATCAACGTTTTATATTTCCAGTATTTTAAAAACTTTATTTAAGCCGTTAACGGCTTCCACTTTAAAAACACACTCTACATGTACATTATTTCAAGAACGTTGACGCCTTCAATAAAGTTTTTAAAATTGTGTGAGATAAAGCATTGATTTGAATTATTTACTAACTTCCAAGGTTGAAATTAATTAGCACACGTGACGTTAAACAGCATTTAAGCCATTAATGATTATGAATTAGCCTATAGACGTGATACTGAAAGCTATCGTATATGTCCTCCACTAAATGTGACATATATCTGGTGTCAAAGTTCAACACTGCTATATTGTGTTTCTGTTAAGCTACGTGATCACAGATTGGATCAATGCCGGATGTAATCTTCTAACACGACACCAGCATGCTCATTCTGAAAACGTTAGAGATTAGATTAATTTCTAGAGCCGAGTAACAGTGGTTAGCGTACTGGATTGTGGAGCTCAGGTTCCATATTTCGTGTTCCGTTATCCCAAAAATAAAAATCGCGCTCAGCGCTTTAGGGCTGAGGATACATATATGACTGATAGTCAAATCTCACTCTTCAGCAACTTAAATGTTGGCAGTGCGTGGTGTTGACTAGCTGCCTTCCCTCTTGTCCGTCAGTTCAAAATTAGAGACAACTAGATCATATAACCCACTTGGAGACTTTGGCAAAATCCAACAAAACAATCACACATTAATTTCTAAATCTCGTTCTCCTCCAAATATCATTCCTTCAGGCAGTTCAGTGTCAACACTCTTATTTTTTTATGTTTTAGACTTAAGTTTCTGTAAATGCAGCGTATACTGGCAATTGTAAAACACATCTAATGCTTAGGATTGGAGCCCTGTTGTATGTCAGTATCTTTGCTAGAGCCTTTGTAGTATTAACAACATACGTACGAGGGGTATACAAAATTATATATGACAGAATTTAAAACGTCTTTGTCATCAAAGCACTACCCACCCAAATAGGAAGACCATAATTTCTATTTTCTCATACCTTCTTGTTTCCTTTACCATCATACGTACTTTTACTATGTAGTTAAAAGTTTGATGTATATTCCATTATCATTAACTTCCCGATCAAAGCAAGCTATCTCCACGTGCAGAAATATAAATTTTAGTTCGTAAATACATCTGCAGTTAAGAGATAATGATGATTTTATATTGGTTATTACGCAAATAGCCTTAGTACTTAAGCAGCTAAAATCTGTTATACATTAAATAAAACGCGTTTAGTGTGGATCGCTAAAATCGCGAATTTGATGGTTGTTCTTAATGTTGCCGTGTCTTCAACTCTGCTTGGCACGGTATTCTATGTAGAAGCGTTTCTTTGGGATATAAGTTATTCTTAGCAAACTAAAGTAGCTAATGATATTCATCTTTTAAAATGATTTGTTGTGTTGTTAGACGTGTAGTTCAGTTCACTACGCTTACAATAAAAACTATCCAATTTTTTAATATTTTAATAAATTCCTTTACTAACATTCTATACTTTTACCCATAAATTAATGTTAGATGTTAACGTACACTACAATTTTCCTGTAATATCTATACAGCAAAGTTGCAAATAATTATAAAATTAGGGGACATAAAAAGTTGAGTTTCACAATTATACATTTTGAGTTACAACACGAATCACTTCTATGCATTTTTAGGTTGAATATAACATTTAATTGGTTATTCCTTTTGCTTGGTGTACATTTTTCATTCCAGTTGTCTGTTTTAGTTAATTCTAGGCTATTTGTTCCATATGGTGAGCTTCTAAATTTAAATTACTAGATTAGTTACAAGTAACTTTAAAAACGGGGAGCATAAGAAAGTTACATTTTCACATAATACGGAAAAATGTGTTTTGGTGGACTATCACCTTACTAGTAAAATTTAAAAACAATTCTTAGATTCCCTAAAAGTAAATCTGAAGTCCAGACAAAAAATATGACAAAACTATTCATGAAATGTTCAGGAAGACCATAAAGTGTTATTATAAATGTTATAAAACATTCTTAAACGTGGAATTCTAAGAAAGATGTTAAAAACAAAATGTACGAAATATCTTCAGGTTAAAGTAGCTATTTCAGGTTTTAGACAATCAAAATTATATACGCAAATTCAACTATTGAAATATGGAATAAGAAAAAATAATACGGTAAAGCTTGCTTAATAAACACAAGAAATATGTGTGTGTGGGTCCACCGAAGAGAATCAAACCCCTGATTTTATGTTGTAAATCCATAGATTTACCGCTGTTCCATCGGGAGACCAATAGAAAAATAGCTTTGGGATTTTGAAAAAAAAACGAATAAAAGGGATATATAGTATATATTTAACAAACTGAATAATAAAACGAGAAATAATAAATAAAACGTATTTGACGAAATTATTTCACTTAAAAGGTGCTACTGTTGATTTCGTATTTGTTACCTTGATCAAGTAATCTTTAATCTTTCGACATACATTATAAATGTTGTGAAGAAACGAGTAATATTAACAGTTACTGTGTTTATAGAACAAACAATGAAAACAGGAGAAAACTTGATAAAAATCTTGTTTGCTCCCAGCTCTTTTAAGATTGGAAATAAAAGAAATTAAAAACTTTATTGATGATGAAATGTGGTATTCTCAATTTAATTGATTTCCATAACAAGTGTTAGGTAAATCCACTTTATAATGGAAGGATTAATTACCATTTCTCCTAGACTCGACACCTCTTTCATACAACCTTTTCTATCCATTGGAAGTTGGGAAAATGCCGTTCTTTCAATCAGAACTATTCTTTTCAACTTGCATAGTTCAAGTTAGAGCAATACACATATTAGCGAAAACAGAATAAAATATTATGGACACGACACCAAATTCCTCCTTTCTACCTACTCTGTGGTATTTTCAGGAATGATAGAAGTATTATGGTATCAATACACATGTGATCTTTTGCCAACTTTCCCTATGCAGTTAGTGTCTTTCCTACCTACTTTACATCAAGACATTTTGGAGGCCCCTTGTCAAATACTGTGTGATATCTTCAAGTTCGCACAATTATATAGCTTTTTTGCTATATGTTGCAAGCAACTGTCGCGAATGTGGAGAGATTCTTTTACAGACTGAAAATTATCAATAACTACACGATAAATTCAACGAGCCCAGAAAGACTGAAAGGATTTGGGTTATTGCGTTTTGAAGCTCTGGGTTTCGGAGCTGAATAGCAGGGATCTAATCAATGCGACACCATAAAATATTCCCCACATATTAAACTATGAGAGTGTTACAATAGTGACTGTCAATCCTTTAACGTGTGTGGTAGGATGCTGCTGAATCACTGCTTTCCTTCTGATCAATAGTTCAGAATTATTGGCGGCGGCATATACATAGTAGCTTTGCCATAAATACAAACTACAAACACAAGTGTATATTGAAGCTGCAAACTTCAAGAATTACGAAGGCAAAGGGGAATACAGCAACTGATGACTTCGCGCAGCTGAAAGTCTTTAGATGTAACTTCTGTTACGAATAACTTGGTGAATATTTTAAAACTTACTGTGCTGTAATCAAGACGTGCATATATTTGGACATGGATGGGTGGGTATTATTTTGTTTAGGCCTAAGTATCATAGCTATCTTTTTAGCAATCATCAACACCATATAAAATACTGTGTTATTAAATGTATATTACATTATTACGTCTTTAAATTATTGATACTGGGTCGTTTAATCGATGTCTTAATTATAATAGTCCTATTCAACAGTATTTTGAAAAAGATATTTCACTTTTATTGCATTCGTATCAGACCTTTGTACATTCTCAAGGTATGCCCCCCCCCCCCGGATTCTAGCGTTGTAAGTCCACAGACATACCGCTGTGCCACTTTTCGATACCCGTGGTGGCAGAGCACAGATAGCCCATTATGTAGCTTTGTGCTTAATTACATACAAACAGTCTCAAGGTATGTAATTGTTCTGTAAACGTTTCATTAATTTCCATCAAATACAATTCATTAGCAACTATATATTGAATGGAGATTCTGTTTACAAAATAACACATTTTACTAAATTGGACGCAATCAACATCTCATAAAATTGACTAGATTGTTTATTTTATTGATTTCATTTCGCCTTGAGCAGTAGTTCACATTAATATTCTATTTTTGTTTTGTTGTGTTGTTGTTTCTTTTGTTGAGGTCTTTCAAGATATCTATTCACCTCACATAACCCACTGTACATGCACCAACATCAAATTTCTTTAGCCTACAGAGAACAGAAAAACGGTGAGAAGCAATAAGAAGAAAAGTTTGTTTTATTTTATTTATGCATAGAGCCTCCCCCCCCCCCAGTGGTACAGCGGTATGTCTGCGGACTTACAATGCTAGAAATCGGGTTTCGATACTCGTGGTGGGCAAAGCACAGATAGCCCATTGTGTAGCTTTGTGCTTAACTACAAACAAACATTTAGATTCTGCTCTTAATTCTTATATGAATTATATTTCTGCATTTTATTGTTCACTTTTATTGTTCATTATTCATATTTTATTGTTTAAGCACATTAATGGAATGCATTTTAGGTTCAACCAACCCCTGATGCTGGAGATTCGGTCTTTTCTGGCCACGGATCTCTTTCGAGAGACTTGTGGACAGGTCACGGCTACGAGCCAGCACCAGACGACGATATTGTCGGTTACGACACTTTCCCGACAGAAAGTAAGTGTAGTTTTTACTTTAAATCTTTGTTTCCAGACTCAACTAAAAACACAAACAAGTTATATAGTTATTTCAACTATAAGTTTGAAATCTGAAATATATATATATTATTTCAATACTTTAGAAACGTCTTGTGCGTTTCACGTATGAATCCAAATTTTTGATACAGTGTGTGCATTTGATATTATGACACTACAAATTCAACTACAATTAATAGAATCAAGACGAACTAATTGGAACTGATTTCTGTTCAAAATATGAAGAAAGATGACTAATTACTTTGGATTTTCCAGTCAGCTTCTTACCAACTACCAATTCAGAGTAGAGATACGGAAATAAACTAACAAGCAGTCAATAGATCAATTCACTTTGCATAGTTTGTAAGGAAACTTTCGGGTGGTAACCGCAGAACGATGAAACTAGACTTTTCTCACGATGATAACAGTAGGTGTCGCTGGATGCTTTTTTTTTTTGTCTTACACAGTGTTAAAAGTACCTCTTTTATACTGTAATTGTCATTCGAAGCAGGTTTAGGTTTTCAAACGGCAAGGTTAGAGGTAGTTTCTCGGTATTGTATTTGTGAATGGGAATAGGTTTTCGTCCTACAAGTTATCTAGTAACTTATCAATACATTAATTATTATAAAGGGTAGCTTTTAGTCTTACATTTGGCAATAGTAGCGTCACTATACTGTAATTGTCATTGAGAGCAGACTAAAAAAATTATTAGTTTTCGGGTAGTTCTTATTGTCAAGGGAGCAGGTTTAAGTCATGGCAGGTTAAGATTAAGAATTTAGCGTTCCTGTATTGAAAGTAGATGTTAGTTTTGGCAAGATTTGGAAGTAGCTTTTTATTACTGTGATTGGACGTTGTTATACAAAAGTGACCACAGATCATAAATTTGAGTAAGTGACCAAAACGTTTCACTTTTAAAACCAAAAATCAAATGTATATTTCAGTTTTAATCAATGGAGATCAATGTGTTAGTAAATATTATTTACATAACAGTAAACTATTCATCATTTTTAAAAAAATGACTTACTTCATTTTTGCTTCACCCAGATTTCCCATTAACGCTATTTTTTAAAAGAAATCAAGAAGCATGATAACAAACAGATCGAAATTCCAATACGTTCTTATAGCTTTATTTTACAAAACAACAACTCTCGAAACAAGTTTTTTTTTTCTAATCATTTGTGCTTATTGTTGTAGCACTCGAGGTAAAGGGATTAGGGTTAGTTTTCCTCAATACAAAAAATCCAGCTCTGTATCAAAGCCGTCCACGTCATCGATGATTTTCTCATCTTGAAGGATCATATTTATATGAGCTACTGTAATGTATGCACTAACTGTTGGTTGCTACACAAGTGCAGTGACATTTGTGCTCTTTACCTTATGAATGTGTAGAAATTAATTTTAAGCATTTGCATTGTGAGTTGCTATTTACAAAGCAGAAGGTAGAACTATTTTTGCGCTTTTTCTTAGCCATTTATGACCTTACTTACCTCTTGCTGGAATGAGTTATGGGATTTTTTTTCAGTCACCGATCAGTATTAATTTGTAGACCCAAATCAATGGTACGTTCCAAAATATAATCATATTTTTCAAACGGTAAAATGTGCTATGTGCAAAATTGAGTGTAAAAAAAAAAGTGCTATGTGCACATTAATGTTACATAACACCCTTTTGCTCCAGAATAGTGAACAAATGAGGTTCGTAATGAGATACGAAATGTATATCTACATGTACATGTAAGTACAGAACATTCAGCACATTACCTATATCATTTTCAAAAAGCTGTTCCGCAAAATGATATAACCCACATAGGTCATTTTTGAATAACCAAAACCCTTTATAGCACGAGTGTGGGTTGGAACTTTTCAATCTATAGGAGCAATCCAAAAGGATTGGGCTTAGATCATCTTTAGCAAGAAAGACTAGTATTTGTCTAGTCTAGAAAATATGATATACTGATTTGGGGATTTTGTGGGTTACGTTATTTATGCATAACAACGTCCAGTTGTCGCTGAAAGCAGGTTTTAGTCTTATTCAAGACACAAGGATAAACTTAGTTCAATAGTTCTTGTCATCATTCAGAGGAAGTACCTAGACTCACTCAAGATTAAAAGTTCTTATTCAAGACATTAGGTTAAACTTAGTTCAATAGTTTTTATCGTCATTCAGAGGAGGACCTAGACTCACTTCATATTAAAAGTAACTTCTCGGCACTTTTTTTATGCCAAATTAGAGCATGTTTGGTTTGTAGGTAAGGCTAAATTATATTTAATACATACAGACTTTGTTTTCTATCATACCGCCGACACGACGCTGCTTAATCTTTTGCTATGTTATGTGGCTGCTGTCTCCAGAGTTTTAAGGCTTGAAGTTTCATTAAGTGTAACCATTGACACCAGGAAGTTTGAATCTTGTGTAAAGTATTTTGATTGCTGTCACAATATCGTTCAAGCTAGTCATGTTATTCAGCTATAACTTGTCACCAAAACTCATGTTTTATGACTGCTGTCACTAGACCGTTAAAATAGTTATTTTATTAATAGTGATCGTTATCACATGACCCGTTAAAATAGTTATTTTATTAACTGTGATCGTTATCACTAGACCGTTAAAATAGTTATTTTATTAATAGTGATCGTTATCACATGACCCGTTAAAATAGTTCTTTCATTAACTGTGATCGTTATCACTAGACCGTTAAAGTTATTTTATTAACTGTGATCGTTATCACGTGACCGTTAAAATAGTTATTTTATTAACTGTCATAGTTATCACAGAACCGTTAAAGAGATAGAATGAATTGCAATATTGGTGATTTTTATTTAAATATTGTATTATTAGGAACCCCGTAACCAACAAAGTAATAGTTCCACAACCAATTTGGCACGTAACTAGTTTAACAAAATCTATTTGAAAAGTCGATTTGTGAAGGTAATTCTAGGATTAAGCTAATCGTTTTTATTATATGTATCATCTGTGGATAGGCCATCGAAACTAATAACTGTCCTCACTTTAACCAAACCACTGAAGATAAACTCGCAGTATTAAATACAAGCATTGTGGCCAACCTTTAGAACCAAACGTTTCAGGTCTATCGTTATTGCCTTTACCAATTCAATAAAGTTAGAGTAAGCTATTCAACTGCAATCGGACTGTTGAAGTTAAGAGTTTCTTGAATGATTAATTGTGGCTGCTGCTGTCAGAACGCTTAAGATAAACGCATTTGCTTAAGTGTAACCTTTATGAATAGTGTGCTAAAACTAAAACTTTTCAAGTTAGATTTATTTGAAATATATTTCATTGTGCTTGTGATAATATCCAGGCTATACTGCAATCAATAAATATAAAATATTCTAGAAAAAAAAAAGATTGATTTATTAAAATGTAAATTCTTCTAACAGTCAAACATTAGCTACAATTGAACATTAAAAGTATTTTTAATGGTAACTTATTAGTTATTCTGATTTTATAAGTGAGCTAGATCCACCTATTTCAGAGAAAATATATTCATCCTCAAGCTTCTATGAAGATTCGAGCGGAAGCTATCCGACAGTCGAGGAACAAGTCGGACTTTGCCGAAAGATAGCCGACTCTCTCTCGACTGACACGAACCAGAAATCACGTAGTGCTAAGTTGTTTAATCGACGAGTCGAGAATTCAAACAAATGGGTGCGTGGAGGTATGTTATCTTTATCCCATGAAATGGAATACGTATTTCGTTGGACATCTTGGACAGAGAAAATAATAATAGTATCTTTTGAAATATCAGATGCTTTAAAGAAACAGTTTTAACCAACCGAGGAATATTCTCTTTTGTAACCTTCCAAAGTAATAATTATCATACCAAGCACTAAACATGATAATAAATTTTTAAAAAAATGGAATTCTAGTATACACATACACACAAGTTATTTATTTTACAATTGAAAGCAATGCATCATTTATCATCGCTTTTTTTTATTATTTTGTAGTATATATCTTCGTGAGAATGAAACACTAATAACAACTTTCTAGAAGTACTACATCTATACGTGTTTGCACGCGGATGTCTCGTGTTTCGTGTGCAGTTTATGGATGAGGCTTACCGGCGCCGTAAGCTCTAAATCCATGTATGGAGAACAACGAGAATTTGTTTGCTAATAGTCAAATTATTTTGTCTGAACTCATGTAACACGATTTGTTTCTTGACGATCCAACATCTGTTATCATTTGACTTAATAACTGTATTCTATATTAACCGAATATCTCACGTTTTAACGAGTGTATATATATATAACATTAACAAAAGATAATTGAAAACATAATTTCAATTGTTCTATTTTAACCGTTTCCACTCCAGTTATCTTGTGTTGTATACGAGGACGAATTACGACATCAAGTTAAAAAAAACAAAAAAACAATCTGTATAATTTCTATGTCCTCAAATCGCTTCCTCAACAAAAATATAAGTATATAATATAAGTTTGATGTATATTTTATTAACATTTGTTTTGATAAAGTAATAAAAAAACGAACTGCTTAATGCAATTTTGATTTTGTGCCTCTCCCCCGATTATAATTTTTATCTTGGTGGTAGAAATATTTCCGTAACACAATTTAACACTCAATACGTTCTTTAGACACTTTTCCGAAGATAAAATATTTTGGTTCGTATACTTTTGTTTGTTTTAGCGTAAAACTACACGTCAGGCAATCTGCGCTCTGTCCACCACGGGGAATAGAAATTCTGATTTTAGCGTTATTAGTTCGCTGACTGGGTGACATCTTGTAAACATCGTGAATTTTGTTTTTGTATCCTTACACCAATTTTTGGCCAACACTCTCAACAACATAATTTTATTATCGCTTCACGTTTCCCCGTAAATTGTCACTCCATTAACAGCACAAATATATCTGTTTGTTTGTTTGTTTTTGAATTTCGCGCAAAGCTACACGAGGGCTATCTGCGCTAGCCGTCCCTAATTTAGCAGTGTAAGACTAGATGGAAGGCAGCTAGTCATCACCACCCACCGCCAACTCTTGGGCTACTCTTTTACCAACGAACAGTGGGATTGACCTTCACATAATAACGCCCCCACGGCTGAAAGGGCGAGCATATTTGGTGTGACGGGGATACGAACCCACGACCCTCAGATTGCGAGTCGAGCGCCCTAACCACCTATCCATGCCAGGCCATTGAAAGAAGTAGAAAGCACGTCAACTTATTGCGAAGTCGGTCTAAAAGACTAGCAGGTATTCCACAATGCAACATTGATTATGTCACCAATTATTCTTATTATGCACATTCAAGGGAGATAAATCTCAGCTTATACTAATTGTAAAAGTGTATTTATCATTTTTCAAGTTGAGTTCGAACCAAAGCCAAAGTGAATGATAGTATACCAATAGGTCAAGAAAGTATAAATATTTACAGAGTGATCATTATGGTATGTAAATTACCTTTATGTAAGAATACACTCGAATAGCCATATATATATTCTTTTGTATAGCAACGACCTCGTGACTCTTTATCTTAGGGCTTTCCTAGGTTCAAATCTTAAATTTTAAATGCAAAATAAAAACGTCGTAATTTCTAGCAATCACCTTATACCATATGAAGATACCATACCAATCATGCCCACACTACAAAGGAAAGCTTTTAAATGTTTTAGTTTATATGTTTTGGTTATTAGAGGGCGTTCTTATATAATGTTGGCTTGTCATATGGAAGCAGAGTTAATTAGTTAGATATGACACTGAATGAGTTAAAGAAAATTAATTCAACTGGTGAGCTAGTTAGCTGGTTAATGAGTAAGTTAATATGCTACTGTATAATCAGTAGATTATGGAGTGTAGTAGTCTGCCAGTTTTAAGTTGTGTCATAGATACGAGAGAAAACTTAAAAGTGTTATTACTTACATGCTCCACATAAAATAATATATTCATTGTCACGTGTTCAATTCATACGTGTGATAGTTGATAAGGATATGTGATAGAGGCTAAAGCAAAAAAATAAAATGTGCCTCTTTAAATTAAGTTTTTCTGTTTAATTCATTAAAGTTACAGTAAACAGCTAAAAGCACCATTCAGAAACTATAGAGTCAACATACTAAATAGTATGGAAAAATCAACTCTCCTTGACGACAGGTTTGTGGTATGTTCAGGTAAAACTGATTTCCTTTAGAATGATGGGATAGGTCCATAGAATAACAAGAGATTGAACAAGACATTTATATTGAAGTAATTCTGTGTTTCTATGAATACCCGAGTTCGTAATGTGACGGATTTGTTGTTGTATATTTATTTTCATATCGACATTTGTTTAGATTAAATTTATATTTAGACATACATAGCTTATAGTGTTAAATATGTATTGCGAAACTTTCGCCTTTTCTCCAAAGTTGTAGAAGATTCTCGAGAGTAAGAATCAACAATATATGTGTGTACGTAAACGCTTGTGTTAGCTTCAGTATTGTTACATGAAACTGAAATTTCTAGAATCTCTCCACACACCTATAAGTATAACCAACGCGACGCGCCAAAACAGAGTATCTAATATGAGTTTGCTATAATTAGTGTGCTATAAACTTCGGAAGCTATAAATGTGATTCTTATAACGCTTATTAATCGGAAAACTTAAGATATTTGACCAGGAGCATTTACAAAGTTCGAACATTACAAATCATTTAACGTCAGTGGATTCTCATCGGACATTAGTACTTTCATGAAAACATTATATAACTTCATCGTAGAAAACTCGGCGTGTCTGGCTGCTGAATAAGGAAGGACAAAGCTAGCAAGCCCCCTCCACCCGACCACCATTAAGCGAATCGTACCTACGTCAACTCGTAATTAACTCGCTCATCGTGAACCTTCGATAAGATATCGAAGAAGTTCCAGACTAGAAAGAAGACTTTACATTGCTTGTAAGTTTGTAAAATTTTTATATATAAATCATTGTGTGTATTAACTATTTGTAATAATTGTTATTGTAAATTGTATTGTTGTTTGTATATTAAAACATACTTGTGTTAAAAAAAGAAAACTGTGTGTATCAATCTTGTTGGCAAATATCATAAACTGACTATATATCGGCTTTTACTTAGGTGCTAAATCCAAAGTACCAAACCATTTAAACCTAATATATTTTACATCACAGGTAAGGACCAATTGATCCAGAGTGACTAGTGCTACCTAAATGATTAGTCATTTTCATTCAAGCATAGGGAGGCTGCAAACTTGAGATACCACCTGATTTATCATTGGAAGATACTGCTGTCTACCTATTGTACAACTTGCAGTATTATAATCATGGCTTACAATAGTAGAACAGGTGTAACCTCAATAGAATGACAAGGGAAGAACGGCAGCTAGATTATAGTCTATTTATTGATTTTTTTACCATATGATATGTAAAAGCAATACATACATAGAAATAATTGATAAATTTAGAATAAAACTATATTTTAACATTTACACAGAAAACACATAAGATGCTTGTATAACACGCTTTTCCTCTCTCTCTTACTTTAAGCTTGTTCTCATACCGACAGTTAATACTAGCTTTAAAACCAATAAATCCATATACGTGCATAGTGTATGGGGTATGGTAGCTTTCTCCCTCGTCCATGTAAACGTTTGTACAAACACAAACCTAGAATGCATATTAAACATTACAACTGAAATCCTTAAACAAATGTAATTAAGACAACAATTGTAAAAATGCTCTTTAACACAGAATATGTTACAATAATAATTCTATTCTAAGGTGTTCACTCTGTCTAATTTTTTTTTTGTATCTGCCCTAACGCGATAGTATGTGTCGCCTGTGAATGATTAGAAATGTTTTTTGTACCGTTTCTTGTTTCAGACGTTATTTTTATAATCCTTCTTGGCTTAGCAAATCATCTTTTTATGCTCCTCCAACTCTTGAATTAAGAAGTCAGTCTTGATTTGTCTAAACAGCAGTTAATCTTGTTCTGTTTGCTGAAAGCGTTGACTTTGTTGTTAATTACTTAAGCTACCTGTTTCATCTGTTAAGTAGTTCGTTATAGCATAATTCGTCTTCAAAGCAAAATAATATACAGACCTTCGTCGTTTCCATAGGGAGTATACCGACAATTACTTGAGCTCAAACTGAGTGTTGGATAGCAAGAACCAGATTGCCTACTATGTGGATTAGCAGCTCAACAACATGTACAAGCGTTAGGTGAAGTAATAGAATTAAAGCGATTATGTATATAATTATTATACATACATATATATATGAATTCATTCAATAGAAATTTAAATGTTGAAGTTAAAAAACGAGTATTTATACATAACTCTACATAGAACTGATATTCAAGAAGAATAGTTGAGAGATTTCTTGTACTACTGATTGACACCTAGGAACTTAAAGTTTAGGGGAAGCAGCGTGGCTTCGTGATTTGGACTTGCAGTCAGATGGTTGCTAATTCGAAGCTGGCTTGCTTCATGTTGTGTTCTAGAGCAAGACACTTTACCCCAATTGTTTCAGTCTATTCAGCAGAATGTGTCAACGTTTGCATCTACTTATATCAGTTAAGTCGGAGTTCAGTACTGCATTTTACGTGACATCTCGAAATGGAACATAACTATTGGGCTACTCTACTCGAATACTACTCTAATCACTACTCTTATAATGCACCTACGGCTCCGAAGGGCGAAGTGCGATTTTGA